TAAAATGACGATGAGTAACACCAGTGACACCTATGGTTAGATAAAAAAGTGGACATTTCTATAGAATGACCCAAAATGAAATGTGGCCTGTAAAAATGTTCTGGCACATTTGACCTTTTATGTTTTATTTTTTCCATTTTGATAAACTTCATTTGTTAATATCCATATTAAAGTGCCATGAATATGTTTGTTCCCTGTAGAGGATGTGTTCACTTATTTTCACTTTACAGGGGTGTTCAAACATTTGCATAAGACTGTGGGGGAGAAAAAACTATCACATAAAAACACAAATGTACCTATTTTTAATATTTTTAGGTTCATCTTAGACTTCTGTTTACGTTTTATTTCTTGTTTCACAGGCTGACACTTTCAGTCATCTATATACTCTTATCATCTTCTAATCATGTACAGTGGGGTCCAAACATCTGAGACCACCAGTGAAAGACGCTTTTATTTTGCATTCATTTCTAATTTAATAGAAGGATTTTCATTACAAATTCTATTATAAACATAACAATTTGAGTGAAAAGTAGAACCTTTGAAATTTTAAAATGAATTTCAGAATTTCTTACTTGGTGTGTCCCTCTTTACCTATTTTGCTTTAATAACAGCACTCAGGCTCACAGGGACTCATCTGCAAAAGCGCCTGATCAGTAGGTCAAATCAGCTGAGAGCCGTCTGAATATGTGCGTCAATGGAAACAATAAGACTAAAAAAAATGATCTTTTTGTAAAAAGGCCTCAACACGGTGCCGCAGCTGTGTTTAAATTTGCATAGTGACCTAAAAACAGTGAAAAATCTTGAATATTTCTCCTTCCTTTTACATGTCATATCTATTCTTTTGTTTTTTTAAAATTCTGTTGTTTATTTCTAAGTTTAAATGAAAAAATCCCAGATTTTTAATATGGTTTCAGACTTTTGGACCCCATATATAAATTCATATGAAAAAGATCAGAAAAAACAAATAAAACAAAGAGTAAAACGCTACTGTTCTTAAAATTGAACACAAATGGTTCTGTACAAACACAGATGGAAAAGGACAACAGGCCTCATCATCAGCTTTTTCCTGAATGTTTTCTTGATAACTAAGAAAAGAAAAAGTCTCTGTCAGATTCATGTCGTGTTCTTAAAGCGCAGAGCTGCTCTCACCTTTGTGCTCTTGAGTGTGTGTAGATTCTGTTCTTACCTAAGAACAAACCCCACATAAGAGAACATTGGTGAGTCAGAGTCTTCATCAAAACTGCGTAAGTGGGTTTAAGAAGAAATTTCTTCTAAAGCATGTTTGCTGAATGAGGGCCAGTGTGTATTTTCCCTGCCTGATTATGATGATGATGGTTTATGTGATCAGAAATAAAGCTGGTTACATCTTGGGCTCACAAAGTCACCAGAACTACACTAAGATGGCACCCAAATCCAACCATTTTAGAAGAAGGTACTAGAAGAAAGCAGCTGATGTCATCAATCCACAAACATAAACACTTGGATCATCACTGGAACTTTTAACTGACACTAAGTTCGATGGTGAGACGAGACCAAAGATTGCAAACACCAGGTGAAGACTAGCCATAAAAAGAAGCGATGGAGCTTATTTTAGCTCAGTTTTATCTACATAGAACTGTGTATGTTAAACAATGTCACTCTCTACTGACCCTTAATGAACCAGCCATGGAAGAAAAGCTCCCTGAGATGGCATAAAGAAGAAACCCTGAGCCTCGAGCCTTAAGCTCAGACTACGGGAACCCGTCCTCAACTGGGTAGCACCAGTTAGTGAGCTTATAGGTAAAGAATATGTAAATGAACAGGGGTGAAATAGATCACACAGAGGTAAGATCTGGGAAATAAGCCAGTCTTTTAAAGATCTAGTAGGTTTACTGATTATGGTGGAGCATCATTAATCAGGTTAGGAGCTCATATGGGAGTCATATGATGGTCATATAATTGTGGCAACATGCAATATACAAATATGCTGAGTTAAGTGGTGAGAGGTAAGTTGTCCATGTGCCTCTCACACTGAAAGAGGGAAGCACAGGTTTCTTTTGAAGTACACTACTTTGCTGCAGTATCAGCCTGTACTCTTCAGCAGTGGTGGACGAAGTACACAAACCATGTACGTGAGTTAAAGTAGAGACACCCAAGGTAAAATATTACTCCAGTAAAAGTAGAAGTTCCTCCCTTTAGACCTCCACTTGAGTAAAAGTACAAAAGTATTTGCCTTCAAATGGACTTAAGTATCAAAAGTAAAAGCACTAAAAGATTAATTATGGCTCTGATGTCCTATTATCATTTTTGTAACCAGACTCGCTTCATTAACTCATTTTAGGTGAAAATACTCCAGTGTCTCTCTTGGTAAACCAGTCTTTAAATAGAATGTCATTAATTAGTGACGCTGATGTCTATTAAAATTATCATAAACACAAAACACTGAAGGCAAACAGTTTCCATCAGGTAGAACTGAGTGGCTCTGAAATCACTTTTTACACACAAGCAAAGTTTCAGTTTAAGATTTATTTGAACTGAGTTACAAGTTTAAGTTTAATAAAAACTTTAAACTCAGATTCACAAATGAGTTTCCTTTACTAAACTGCATCTGTAGGTCTCTGTTCATAAACATAAACTAGACAAAACTAATTTACTATAAAATGAAATGTGTTTGTATAAATTCAGAAAAAAGACACGTCAGTCACAACTGCATATGTGTACATATTTCTATATTGTGGTCTGTTTACACAAAGTTAGGTTAGTTCATCATTTATGTTGAATAGACTCTCCCAGAATTTTACGCTGCTGCACTGATGTTGAGCCGTGTGCTGCACTGGGTCGGTATGTCCAACAGGTCAAAACAAGCCCAAAACAAAGTGACCGCTGTGCCCTGATTGGTGTTCTTGCTTTGCGCTTCTTTCATTTTGACCTGTTACGTTTTTATATACACATAAACCAAAAGGAACGACAGATTTCTCATAATGTAGTGGAGTAAAAAGTGAGATATTTGACTGTGAAATGTAGTGGAGTGAAAGTAAAAAGCCACCCAAAATTGAAAAACTTCAGTAAAGCACAGATACAGGAAAAACTACTTAAGTACAGAAACGAACTACATTTACTTCGTTACTGTCCACCACTGCTTTTCTGGGAAGGTTTTACACTAGACATTGGAACAGTGCAGTGAGGATTTGATTGCATTCATGCACAAGAGTTCGTGAGGTCAGGATGATCAGTTCTGGATCACTCCCAACTCATCCCAAAGGTACTGGATGGAGCTCCATCACTCCCAGAGAACACAGTTCCGCTGCTCCACAGCCCAGTGCTGGGTAACTTAGCTGACCCTTGGTGTGAGCACAGTGATCTCATGGAGGATCATGTGTGATTGTCTCATTCTGTTAGCAGTGCTTTTCTACAGAGACTATACAAGCTGCTGCATGCAATTAAACACCTGTGGCAGTGATGGGTTCACTGTATCCTAGGTTTTCCTTGCATTTCATTTTTTTCCCTTGAGCTCCATTTATTACATGTTGTGCTTTATGCACTATGAAACAGCCCTAATTCTCTTTTACATGATCATTATCATCAACAGCTCTGCAACCCTTAGAATTAAACAGGCTGTTTTCTTACTGCGCCTTTAGGACTGATTTATTTAACCTCTTATTCTCCAGGGTATATTTTGGTTTGTCCATCTGAATTTCCATGACCAAATCGTAAGGCAAATTATTCAGTAACTGCATGAAATAAATGTAAATTTTTAGTTTATATATTTATTTATTTTTTTGTAAAAGTTCCCCTTAAATTAACAGAACATGTGTTTTATGATACACATATTGCTATATGCTTATAATTCACTGCTGAAAGCCAAAAATCTGAGACGCTCTTTGTATTATTTTATAAAAATAATGTTTACAGAGCAGATCACTGAAGAGACGCCATCTGTTTATAGTTTATAGCCCAGATTTGTGGAAAAATGGGTCGACTTTCAGTAGAAAAAAACTGAGTTCAGATTCTTTTATTATAAGGGTTTAAAATTACATCACCATCTATTTGACTGGAGAGAAGACAGTTACAGCTTCATATGACCCCCACCTTTAGAATGTAGCTTATGAAATATGAAAGTTATGAAGAATATGATGAAGTGAGTTTTGGAACCACCGGTGGTCTCAAGGAGTTTAAAAGGTTAAATATCCTCTGTTCTGATTGGCTGTCCAGTATTGTGCCTCATTCAAAAAGCAGTGAAACACTCCTTATAACTTCAGTGTGAATGCGCTCACCCTGTGGCCATGAGGGGCAGGGCTGCAGTCTCGCTTCCTGCTTTAAAATGCAGGGGTGTGGCTAAGACAGCACTTACAAAACATGTTAAAAAACAACACATTCTGTCCCTAACTGGACACATCACTGTGCTCGGATGGAGACGACACATTTTGTGTTACTTTTAACACAAAATGTGTTGAAATGTCTGTTTCCAGTTATGAATGAAACATTCTGGGTTATTTTTTCACACCGAATGTGTTAAATCACAAAACGGTATAACGCAAAGTGTTAAAATGGATAAGACAAGTCAGTGTGTTGGTTTTTAACACTTCACTTGCTCAACCTATGGACTAAAACTCTGTGTTTTGGTAGAGATAAGAAAAATTAAACTCTCTAAATAAATTGAAACCTTTCGACTTCACTTGAAAAGAAACTAAAAAGTTACAAAAAATAATATTGATAAAAAAAAAGTTGAAATTTTGCAATTAGGGTTTGGGACAGCCAATAGAAAGTAACCTATAAATGATTTTATATATTTAGCTTATTACCATCTCAATTAATGCATTGAGTTCAAATAGATTGTAACATAATCCAAGTAAACATCTAAGATCTGAATATTTATTTATTTGTTTGTTTGTTACTGTGGGAAAACAATATTATGGTCCATGTCTGTAAAACTTTAAAAAACCTAATTAATAAAATAAAACTCATGGAAGTAACTAAACTATTTAGACTTAATCCAACAGCCTCCTTCAGTGGCTGAACCCTCACTGGCCACTGAGTGTCCGGTCTGAATTACAGTCATAGTTCAATCTCTCTCTCTCTCTCTCTCTCTCTCTCTCTCTAAGTGGGCGAGGTTTTGGTCACCTCTGAGGAGCTCCTGCTGGCCAGCGCTTCCATCGCGCTGGTGCTGAGAGCGTTGGAGGAGCTGAGGGAGAATGAGCCTGCGGTGCCAAAGCGCTGCCCCGCCGCGCGGACTGGCCGAAACTCTTCACCAACGAAAAGTGACCACTGCATATGTTTCAGCGGATCCATGAGAGCTGGACTCCGTGCTCGCTTTGATCCACGCGCACGAAACAGACCTGTCAGCTTCGACGCCGCGTTTCTAACCTGATGTGAAAAAATGGAAAGGAAAAAGACATGGCTCGTCTCGTGCGTTCCGTCTCGCGCTTGTCTGACCGCTTCGCTGTTGTATTTGCTCATTTGCTCCGTCCGCGCCGAAACCTGCCCGGATCTCTGCACCTGCGCTGAGGATTCTGCCACCGTCACCTGCCTGGACTCTCCAGAGATCGAGCTTCCTCTGGACGTGTCCCAGCGGACGAGCACTCTGATTCTGAGGGGAGCCAACATCTCCGCTCTGAGGGACGGCGCCTTTTCGGCCAACGGGTCGGTTCTGGAGCTGCGGACGCTGCGGCTCTCATGGAACAACATTCAGGTCATCGAGGCGCACGCGTTCCGCGGACTCCCGCGACTCCAGCGCTTGGATTTGAGCCACAACAGACTGACGGCCGTGTCCGTTCAGGCGTTCTGTGGGTTGGACGAGCTGCGCTTTCTCTGGCTGAACAACACTCTGACGCCCCGCGGCGCGAGGGAACTGCCCCAGGCGCTGTCCACTGGAAGCCTGAGGAACCTCCAGACCCTGGAACTGTCAGGAAATCGCTTGAAGGCGATCCCCATCGCCCGCTTTGACAACTTTAACCTGAGCACGCTGGTACTGACCAACAACTCCATTGAGACCATTGGGAAAAACAACGTGTCGAGTTTGAACGAATTCCACGGAATACGCGTCTATCTGTCTATGAACCCTTTCAGGTGTAACTGTGAGTTGGAGGCGTTTTATTACTGGCTGAAAAACGACTCTAGGTGCGCAGACTCCGCTCGCGTGCTGTGTAAGCTGCCGGAGGCCAAGAGTGGATTACCTGTGGAGAAACTTCGCAAGGAGGACGTTGACTGCGTCAACGCGGAGCTGGAAGCCGTTTCTTACGTGTTTCTTGGCATCGTGCTGGCTCTGATCGGCGTGGTGTTCCTCATGGTTCTCTACTTGAACAGAGGGGGCATCAAAAGGTGGCTGAATAACATTAGAGAGGCGTGTCGAGACCAAATGGAAGTCTATCATTACAGATATGAGCAGGACTCAGACCCCAGACTGGCAAACGTGGCCGTTTAGACCGCCAGTGTTGGCCAGTGTTGGCATGCCATGCTCGAATTTGCATTACCTCTCAGCACTGAATTCGCCCTAGACTAATGCATGATCTTCTGAAAATAGAGCTATGAATAGGCTATGCAGTGCAATGTGTACAGAATATAGATTAAGCAACTCCAGCGAGTAATGAAGCTCAATGAAAAAGTAGGCAACTGAGTGATTTCCTCTACCATCCAGCTTTAAATGGGGAAAAAGGAACATTCCGTTTCCCTAAACGCGTCCACATCCAGACAAAACATAAATCTGCCACATGCAGTGTATTTGCTTGACAACTGTGCGTGTTTGACTTGGTTCTGACCTATTTGACCTCTGTTGTTGCAAACACTGCCAGGTCTAGAGGACATTGGGAGATCAATCAAATGCCATGAATCAAACCAATGTGTACTCTTCAGTTATGGTTTATAAGCACATTCAGCAGTAAAATCCATAGAACAAGCGTATCTCTGTGAAACACCAATCACAAATCGCTGCTGCTACAACAGAGACTTTGAAACAACAGTAACGCCACAACATTGTCAGACACAGTTTATACAGCCACTATGCTCTCACTCAGCACACCTGTGATCCACTGATCTGACCGGAGCTTCAAATACCATAAACCCAGATGAAGCAGAAGTCTACAGCATAAATGATGTGGTATGAATAAGCTGGCATTTGGACAAAATGGTGTTTTTTTGAAATGCATCAATAATAAAAACAATTGAAATACCTTTTCCCTGTGTAGCCTGTCTCTGTGTGGTTTAGGGCGCCTATAAAATCCACTCACTTATTCAAAAGTTCTGCTGAAATGTGAACAGATTCATTCAGAGTGGGTTGATATTTGATGGTCCATTGTAGAGGAACTGACACAGGTTTCTCTGCAGTGGTGATGATAGGAACCATGGGTTGCAACACCCAAAACAACCGGTAAACCTACAGGCGTCCTCTGAGTTTTCATATATGAATTTGATAAGGGAGGAAAATCTAATAAAGTAAGTTCTCTTACGTTTTGTGGCTATTTCACCTTACAACACCCCATTTGTACCTCTACACTCACAAAAAAGATGGTTCTTCAAGGGTTCTTTAGTAAATACATTGGTTCTATATAGAACCACGAACACTCAAAGAACCATTTGCATGCTTAAATAGTTCTTCAGATTGATGGAAAATGTGTTACATATGGTTCTATATGGAACTTTTTTGAAAACATGGCAAGCTTGTAACTATAGCAGAACCCTTCTTGGTGTTAGATGGAACTTAAACTACACTGATTGAAAGAATCATTCATTCAAAGTATTTATTTAGGTTGAATAAAACTAGTTAATTTACTTGTTACCACATGAAGTAATTTTTTTAGGTAGATCTGATGAGACACTTTTTACAGTGTAGTTCTCATTTTGGCACAAGTACAGTATCATTACATTCATTTTTAGCCATTTATACTTGTTATCTCTGTGTATTGGCTTAAAATATCCTATTGATCTGCCAATAAAGTGAAATGCTGTAAAAAGTAATTGATGTCTAAAAATAATTTAAAGATATAAAAGTGACAATTTCACTTGCCAAGATACCATTTTTTGCAAGGGAATCTGTAAACACTCATAGAAGTGCTGTTTTGGGATACCAGTCCCCTCCTGGAGCTGCGGAAATGACATTAGTGTTTTCATCCCATCAAACAAGTTTTAAAGAAAGTCATTCGTTTTTATACCACTGATGGAATTCATTGTGTTTTACACCCAACATGAAATTGTGGCTTCTCATAAGACACATTAATGATGAAAAATAGGTTTTCCTGCCAAAATATTTAGTTACTGTCACTGTTGGAACTGTTCATTTAGTTTTTCTTTTGATTCATCTTTTTAACATAATTTGAAAATACTCTAATATCTGTCTTTTACATTGTGTAAAATCAATGGACCTATAGAAACAATCCAAGGAACGTGGAATTAAATTTCTTTTATCCTACACTGAAAGTTATGAATGTTTTTCCATTGTTGAGAGTTTTTTTTTTTCCAACTGCTCTGATCTCCTAGCGCTTCACAGCTCTCATGGCTGTGCGGGTCGGCTTCCTGACCTCAGATTAAGCCCGATGCCAGACTAAGAATCCCCCTTCTGTGTGTCTCACTGGTTTTTAAATAACCCAGGGTGAGTGGTTATTTCTCCTTGTTACTGATGGTGGCTGGAGACAATTTGCTGCTAATAAAAGAACAGTGACGGGACTGAAGACAAATCGGAGGCATAATTATAGGCAAGCTGGGATTAATCTCATCAGCGCTGTGACTAAGAGAGAGGGCGAGCTGATGCCCTATAAATCCGCAGTCCCGCTTCTGCTCCTGCTTCATTTGCCTGTCTTTAATTAACGGGCTCCAGGCGTCATGGTGTTTGATTTTAATGGCAAGGTCAGTCGGGCACTGGACAAGCCACAGACACAAGGTCTCTGCTGAACCTGAACATGCTGAATGGGCAGTGCTGTGTTGTACTCTGGCTATTTTGGCTTTCTTCAATAGCTTTTCATGATTCAGTAACACCTGCTTGAAAAGCCGTGGTTTACTGTGTTGCTTTTGCTTGAATTCGGATGAACTGACTTTAAAGGGCCCTTATTATAGAAAAACAAATTTCCCTCGCTTTTTAAAATAAAGGCGTTTAAAGTGAAATGTAAGGACTGTTAAAGTTTAAAATGTACCATTCAGTACCCCGTCCATTCATTTAGTGCATATATGGAAACTAAGCAGCACAAAAATTGATTTTTAGTTCATTGTTTTTATGACCTGAAGAGAAACAACTTTTTTACAATTATCCACCTATTCAGCGTACAGCTGTTTAGCCCCACCCATTCTTTCAAGTTATAAGTAGCATTTCTCTGAGTGCTTGTTGAATGAGGCTGAACACTGGGCAGTCAGTCAGAACAGAGTTAAAACACACAAACAAACAAACAAACAAACAAACAAACAAAAACAGCTTGTGTAATTTTAAGGGATAAACAGGTTGGAAAATAGCCATGTAAAAATGAATTATGACCATTTTTGGTATATAAAAAACACAAATGTTAAAAGTGGACCTCAGGGGTAAAAACACAATACAATAAAAATCTAGGCTATGGGTCCTTTAAATACTTTAATTCATCTGGAAAACACAAATTATCAAAGTGATCAAATTAAAATCTCAAAGACAGCCATGTCTGTATTGCGCATGATTTTAGCAGCACATTAAAAGTTTACATTTTAGGCTTTTCACTTTCATAACTGCAATGTGTCCAGCTTTGTTTTGTTGTAGTTTAAAATAAAAATCAAGAAAAAAAAATGTATGTACACTGTATGGCTTCCTATTTCTCAAGGTCTGGGGTTTTGCTCACGGGTGTATGAAATCGAGCACATAGCCATGTAATTTTCATAGACAAACACTGGCAGTGGGTCATAATGAACAGCCCCGTAAGTTTAACGTGGCACTGTCATAGAATGTCACCTTTGCCACAAGTCAGTTTGTGAAATTTCTACCCTGCTTGATCTGCCCCTGTCAACTGCAAGTGCTATTATTGTTAAATGGAAGCATCAGCTCAGCCATAAAGTGGTAGATCATACAAACTCACAGAGCAGGGATGCTGAGTACTAAAGCATATAGCACATAAACATGACCTATCCTCTGTTGAATCACTCACTACAGGGTTGCAAACTGCCTCTGGAAGCAACATCAGCATAAGAACGGCACATTAGGAGCTTCATGAAATGCTTTTTTTATGTCTGAGCAGCTGCACACAAGCCTAAGATCACTATGCACAATGCCAAGTGTCGGATGGAGTAGTGTAAAGTGCCACCACTGGACTGTGGAGCAGTGGAAATGTGTTCTCTGGAGTGATCAATCATGTGATCATCATCTAAACCCGCTTATCCTTCTGGGTCGCGGAGTGAAGGGAAATCTCAATGCAAAAAAGACATTTCAGACAATTATATCCTTCTAACTTTGTGTGAACAGTTTGGGGAAGAACCTTTCCTCTCCCAGCATGACTAAAGATGAATGGAATAAAAGATCCAGCAAGCTCAAATGGGAGTGATGGTCAGGTGTCCACAAACTTTTGGCCATAAACCGTACTTGTTATGTTTTCATATTAAAGAAAAAAGGATCATTGTCCATGACTGATGTGCTCATTGTCCAAAACTGTCATGTGATTAGTCATGAGTCATGTGATCAATTTTCCATGTTTAGATTTCAATCAAGATTGTGATCATTAAGTTAAAGCATGTACAGTGAGTTACATTTCGCTTAGTCATCGTGGTTTTTCCATTTTTTGGCATAGCATGCTAAGGTCACTGCTCTGCAGAACCTCTCATTTACTGCTACAATTAGAAGCTTGTTCTGGGACAGAGAACAGGTCTGATGGAAGAGGAATTCCATCAATTTTTAAAAAATTCTGCATTAATATGTAAAAGTCAATCTCAGAATTCAGAATTCTGTGCTTTTAATAGGAACCAGAAGTCTGAAGTGTTGATTGCATCTAAAAGCTACTTCACAGAAAATGATTACACAAAATGGTTATGAGTGCAATTACTGTAGATTTGAGCGAAGGGTTTGGCCTCAAAACTACTTATTAAAATACATTCATGGTAGAGAGGTCGATGGCAGGTGTTGTAAGGCAAAATAGTACATCCTTATTGAGACTTACTGCTATTTTCCCATCAACACTGTGTATAAAACTTAGGAGTTGGTCATTTTGGATATTTGAAAAATGACTATGTTTGCAGCGCAACCCCTGGTTTCTATCACCACCACTGTAAGGAAAACCCAGTCAGCAAGTTTCTCTACAATATAACACGTCACATCAAACCACACCGAATGACTTTGTTTACATCTCAACAATTAAATTATTAAGGTATTTTTAAAAAATGGCCAAATTTCAACTAAACTTCTGACATTTTGCTTTGTGTTCACAGACAGACAGACCAAAGGCCAGGCTGGCAAAATCTAGGGATAACAAATACAGAATTCCAGAGCTACAGGAGGAATACTCAAAACAGGAGAGAGACAGGTTAATCAATCGATCAATCGACCTTTATTTAACCTCAGAGAACATTGAGGGTGACCCTCATATGCAATGTTGCTGAGTTGATACAGGAGAAGGGATTGATGATGTGTAAGAACATCTCAAATAATAAAAGTAAATTTAATAAGAAATGACTCAAATCAGGTAAGTGTAAAAAAATGAAACATTAATAATAAAAATACATAAAAATACAGTAGAAAATCTAAAACAATAATTAAAACGTAGCTAAAATATGAAAGTTAATAAAATCAAATCAAATAAAAATAAAAGGAGGATAAGATCAAAAAATAAACTACAAATGAATTACAATGAGTAAAATGAATATGAATATGAATAAACAAACAAATAAATAACAAAATAATGAAAATAAGACAATAATAGTAAAAATCAGGTAAATCAGGTGCAGGCTAGAGGTCAGAGAGGTCATAGCAGGAATATTCACAAAGCCTGGCTGTTTTGATGTCATTTGCCTATCTTCTACTTTCTGTCTCTTTCTGCCTTCCCCCATCCCATAAGCCCCCCACGCAAACACTCAGACATACACACATACAGCATGGTTAGTATTGGACTGTGTGATTGTAGCAATTTGTCCCCTGGCAGAGATTTAGCCGTACCCTTTCTGGGCAGCCAGATCATTCGAGCTTT